AACTCATTAAAGATCCAAAGTAAGTTAGGTTCCAGATTTACCGACCGAAAACACCTTTTCTCCACAGTATTTTGGGGTCTGATTTTGATTCTGTTACCTTGGTCTTGGATGTGTTGATCTATAACTTCGTCTCGTTTTAAGTGAATATATATCCAAGTTTGATTCCGATTCCTACAAATTATCGAACAATCATCCAGAAATCCTTTTTCTACACTATTTGAGTCTTTATGTATTTATTACCTTGACCTTCTGCAAGTTGTCCTCAAACTGATATAGATTGTGGCCATACAAGCCTAAGTGAGGTTATCCGGTTATAATTATCAAAATTCCAAAATTTAGTGATGGACGGATGTAATGACTGGTATATATACATATAAATCTTCCCATTGTACTCTGAAGCGTGAGGTTTAAATATTTATAAACACTATCAAGGAAAATAGATAAGTCTTGAGGTTGTTGGTATTGATCTTGATGTAGGGTAATTTGCGGGATAGAGAAAGTGTAATAAGTTAGTTTTACTTGATAGTAACTTCAAAACTAAGAATGCAAAATAGATAAAATCTATGTTCAAATAAGCCATCTTTGTTATTATACTTATCTAAAATGACAACAAATGTATCGGAGATAAATTATCAAAAACTAATTTCAAATGAGATAATATTGATAATGATAAAATATTCTGTGATGGTGATCGGTCAGTTATTTTTCCTCTGTTAAAAAATGAAAACACGAATTTCTGCACCATCCATATATATAACAGCATAAAATATCATTCCATAACGAAACAATAACTTTTGTAGAAGTTAACACAATGGCGTATATCTTTTCTTAACTACCAATATTATTTTATACATTTTTGTAGAAGTGCACATAACTTTGTGTGTCTTTTTTCATTACATATATTTATACTGGCTAACAGCAACACCCCTTCCCCCATCATATTCTGTTTGAAGTCCGAAGTATGAGAAACGACTATTCGTCATAATATCTTATGAATCTCTATAGAAACAGCATTCATAAATTAAAAATACTTTTTTTCAAAGCTTATTTTGAGTGTAATAAAAGTGTTGACCGAAGCACATTTTGTGTATGGCGAAAACGTTTACCAAAGCAAATTTTAAATGAAGCGCGAAAGATTGAATACTGCAACTTGTTTACGTCCTCTAGGAAGTTCAATGTCAACTTAATGACGCAATCTGAATTTTCTAAGCATAATTTAATATAAACATATTTGATAAATTTTCAGTTGCTATATTTTGTAACCATCGCAAAAACTAAGTTTCAAACTTACCCAAATAAAGGCAATTGAAACTAAATAGAATCTAAACTAGAGGCTCTAAAGAGCCTGTGTCGCTCACCTTGGTCTATGTGCATATTAAACAAAGGACACAGATGGATTCATGACAAAATTGTGTTTTGGCGATGGTGATAAGTTTGTAGATCTTACTTTACTGAACATTCTTGCTGCTTACAATTATCTCTATCTATAATGAACTTGGCCCAGTAGTTACAGTGGAAAATATTTTGTAAAAATTTACAAAAATTTACAAAATTTATGAAAATTGTAAAAAATTGACTATAAAGGGTAATAACTCCTTAAGGGATCAATTGACAATTTTGATCATGTTGACTTATTTGTAGATCTTACTTTGCTGTACATTATTGCTGTTTACAGGTTATCTCTATCTATAATAATATTCAAGATAATAACCAAAAGCTACAAAATTTTCTTAAAATTACCAATTCTGGGGCAGCAACCCAACAACATGTTGCCTGATTGGTCTGAAAATTTCAGGGCAGATAGATCTTTACCTAATGAACAATTTTATCCGTGTCAGATTAGCTCTAAATGCTTTGGTTTCAGAGATATGAGCCAAAAACTGCATTTTACCCTATGTACTATTTTTTAGCCATGTCGGCCATCTTGGTTCGCGGGCGGGGTCATCGGACACATTTTTTAAACTAGATACCATAATGATGATTGTGGAAAAGTTTGGTTAAATTTGTTCTAGTAGTTTCAGAGGAGAAGATTTTTGTAAAAGATTACAAAAATTTACGAAAAAAGGTTAAAAATTGACTATAGAGTGCAATAACTCCTTAAGGGGTCAACTGACCATTTTGGTCAAGTTGACTTATTTGTAGATCTTACTTTGCTGAACATTATTGCTGTTTACAGTTTATCTCTATCTATAATAATATTCAAGATAATAACCAAAAACGGCAAAATTTCCTTAAAATTAACAATTCAGTGGCAGCAACCCAACAACCGGTTGTCAGATTCATCTGAAAATTTCTGGGCAGATAGATCTTGACCTGATAAACAATTTTACCCCTGTCAGATTTGCTCTAAATGCTTTGATTTCAGAGATATAAGCCAAAATCTACATTTTACCCCTATGTTCTATTTTTAGCCATGGCGGCCATCTTGGTTGGTTGGCCGGGTCACCGGACACTTTTTTAAACTAAATACCCCAATGATGATTGTGGCCAAGTTTGGTTTAATTTGGCCCTGTAGTTTCAGAGGAGAAGATTTTTGTAAAAGTTAACGACGACGGACGACGGACGACGACGACGACGGACGACGACCGACGACGACGACGGACGACGACGGACGACGGACGCCAAGTGATGAGAAAAGCTCACTTGGCCCTTTGGGCCAGGTGAGCTAAAAAAGGATATCGCAAAAATTTCAAACGAAGCTACAACAGGTGCGTGAACATGGTACGTATCTGATTTCAGGAGCACTGCAAAGCATAGAAAAATGTCGAGGCGACGAAAACGGATCAAAAACATTCATTCGTTATGTTCCATTTGATTAACAACAACTGCATTTGTCGATACCACTATTGACTGGCTGTTTGACACAAGGATTTCATCCTGCAGTAATCATTGCGTCAGTTGTATTACCACTATTGACTGGCTGTTGACCACAAGGGTTTCATCCTCCAGTAATCAGTTCGTCAGTGATTATACCACTATTGACTGGCTGTTTGACCACAAGGGTTTTATCCTCCAGTAATCAGTGCGTCAGTGATTATACCACTATTGACTGGCTGTTTGACCACAAGGATTTCATCCTCCAGTAATCAATGCGTCTGTGATTATGCCACTATCGACTGGCTGTTTGACCACAAGGGATTCATCCTCCCGTAATTAGTGCGTCAGTGATAATACCACTATTGACTGGTTGTTTGACCACAAGGGTTTCATCCTCCTCCTGTTATCAGTGCCACAGTGATGATACCATTATTGATGATCGATGAATCAGACAGCATTTATTACGCCACTAAAATACATGTATGTAAGTGATCGATGAATCGGGGAAATCAATTTCTCCACCAAAATACATGCATAAAAGTGATCGGTAAATCGGAAACGTCATTTTTTCCAACTGAAATACATGTATGAAAGTGATTGATGAATCAGGAAACGTCAATATCTCAAACTGAAATACATGCATGTAAGTGATCGATGAATCGGGAAACTACAATTTCTTCAACGGAAATGCATGCACGAGAGTAATCGATGAATCGGGAATTGTCCATTTTTCCAACCGAAACACATGTATGTTAATGATCAATGAATCGGGAAAGTCAATTTCTCCAAATGAAATACATGCATGTATGTGATCGGTGAGTTGGGAAACGTCCATTTCTCCAACTGAAATACATGTCTGAAAGTGATTGATGAATCGGAAAACGTCAATTTCTCCAACTGAAATACATTCATGGAAGTGATCGATGAATCGGAAAACTTCAATTTCTCCAGCTGAAATACATGCATGGAAGTGATCGGTGAATCGGGAAACGTCAATTTCTCTGACTGAAATGCATGCATGAAAGTGATCGATGAATCGGGAAACGTCAATTTCTTTAACTGAAATACATGCATGCAAGTGATCGATGAATCGGAAAACGTCAATTTTTCCACATGAAATACATGCATAAATGTAAGTGATCGATGAATCGGGGAACACTCTATTTCACCCATGAATGGCTCTCATCTGAAGACAATGTCAAAAATGCCAAAAAGTGGACTCTGTGAGAGTACCGGGTACATTACCAAGGCGTTTCTGGGTCGGTACAGTTGGTAGTGGACTTGATGAGAGTACCGTGTACATTACCACGGCGTTTCTGGGTCGGTACAGTTAGTAGTGGAGTTTGTGAGAGTATCGTGTACATCACAACGGCGTTTCTGGGATGGTACAGTTGGTAGTGGACTTGGTGAGAGTACCGTTAGCAAGCTTTAAAAATAGCCAGATATTTGTAAAATTTAAATGATACATGCATTTTGACTTTAAAATTTTCATTTTATAACTGAATTAATTGTACATAAAGGCAACAGTAGTATACCGCTGTTCAAAAGTCATAAATCGATCAAGAAAAAACAAATCCGGGTTACAAACTAAAACCGAGGGAAACACATCAACTATAAGAGGAAAACAGTGAAACAACAGAAACACTGAAGTGCAACAAAAAAACAAACGACAATGCAACACACACAGAAACGAACTATAAGATAACAACTGCCATTTTCCTGACTTGGTACCGGACATTTTAAGAAAAAATGGTGGGTTGAACCTGGTTTTGTGGCTACCCAACTTCCTAAAAATACCCTAGAAGGTTTCGGCTCTTCAATTTAGTATTCCAATAAAAGGAGAAATAATGTCTTAAAAATAAACAGCCCCAACACACATACATGTAACCATAGGCCATTTTGGTATTTCAGTGGACCATATACCTAAAAAACGTTATCCTAGAAACATGTTTCGTGCGACTGTTTTTTTTTTATTAAACGTCTCGATTTATATAAATTTATTCACTAAAATTTGTCTTTCTCGAACTGAAATTGGTATCAAACGTTTGAATTATTTAACTCTGAGCTCAAATGTTGAGCTGCAACTACATAACTATGTCTGATTCGTCTGTCATAAAAAATTGAACACAAAACATTTAATAATTATCAATTTTCTTTTTGTTAGTGAATAATAAATCTCCGTAATAAACGTATGATGAGTATTGTATACACTTACAATTTACAATTGACTGGGGTTCAGATGAAGGATCCGTACAGTTTCACAATAGAATGAGATTATTGTATCTTGCTTCATTTTTTTAATACAATTTAGAATCAGGCACCATGTATGGTACACTGTAAAAATCGTGCTTAGAAAATAAACACTTATATTACATATTTTGTTCTAAACTTGTTTAGGATTGTGTTTGATATCTAAACACATTTTCTTAGTAAGCACATTAAATGTACACATGTCTTGAATTTAAACACTTTTAAATGTGATTTAGAATTAAAGTGTTTAGGAATAAAACACTAATTTCTAAGCTAAACACGATCCTAAACACAATCGTTAACACATTGTCGACCTAAACATGTTTAGAAATGAGACATGTTTAGACCAAAACGTGTAAAAAGTGCACAAAAGATGTGTTTAGAATTGTGTCTTGGTTCAAAACACCATGTTTACAGTGTATTTTTGTAAAATATTTTTTCAAAGATTATCATTACAACAGTTTTTGAAATACATATACGATTCGTTACAGGTTGGTTTGTAAAATTTGTTATTTTGTGTAATGACAAAATTGGCAAATTCCGTAATTATTTTTAACAATATTATTTCATGCCATCCGGTTACGAAATAAATTTCACGTTATTGTTAAACAATAATACTATCCTATACAATTCATTGTATAAATTACGATATATCAATATTTCTGCTCTTCTTGTGAATTAGTCCCACCGCTGGATTGAACTGCCTGTTCATATGATGGTGGTTGTACTGGAGTTGGAAATACAGTAAACGGGACAGCCAACTGGTCACAGATTCCACTAGAGTTTTCTTCAAATATAAATAAAACGTTTCAGCTTATACCGTTTTATTTTTAATGTTATACTAACAGTTTTAAACAGATGTGAGCGATGAACATGATGAATGACTCTTCAAAAAAAGAATTAATAATGGCATTGAATGTGTCTGCATTAGAATATATTTTGACATGATGTTGTTTATCAGTTATTTTATCTGTCGGTCTAATTGTGTCAGTTATTTTATCTGTCGATCTAATTATGTCAGTTATTTTATCTGTCGATCTAATTGTGTCAGTTATTTTATCTGTCGATCTAATTGTGTCAGTTATTTTATCTATCGATCAAATCGTGTCAGTAATTGAATGTTTTACTTTGCTCTCTACTCTTCATTACTCCATTCATATAAATATTTTCGTACGAGATCCTCTCAACCACTTACATAAATTACGAGAGCATCAAAACTATAGAGCGATAAACACAGATATTCTATAACGATCAACCAAGTCATGATGGCGTCCATAGTTTCTTAGTTTTTAGAAGGACTATTCAACCAACATCGTTACCAACAAATTGTCAGTACATTTGTATATATAAGCATATATATGATACCAATTTCGGTGCTAATGACTCATGTTTCTGAGCAAGGCCACGCCAATTTTGCCCCGACTCAAAGTTTGGGAAGCAAAAATATTAAATTTTGGAAAGCATAAAAACAAAACGATAACCTACTCTGTCAGTCATTATATGTTTGTTTTCATGGTTCATATTTGTATATATATATATATATATATATATATATATATATATATATATATATATATATATAACTCATGTTGTAAACCAGACAAGATAAAACTCAGTTCTTCTTTGAACTTATATCCTCTTTCTACGTACACGTAAAATTATGAGCTAGCACGGTGAACTTTACTTTCGAATAGTCAACCTTTTTTTCAATTAATCCATAAAACCAAATGAAGGAGTATTTATATGACTATGATAATATTTCTTACAAAATTAATTTGAAAAGGACGAAATAGTCGGTATTTTTAATTTTCAAAAAGCAACACGATAATGGCAAATCTTGAAAGGACCAGGGTTGTTTTGTGTTGAGTTTTGAACATCATTTACCTACCTGCGCTGATAAAAGGAATCATATCATGTCTTATAACTCTTCTTGTTATTCTGTTGCTTCGTGTACAACGACAACATACACCAACCATAATAGCTATAAACACTGTAGTGCCAATTATTACCGTTATCGCTATTGCAGCAACAGATGAATCTGACCTGGAATTAGCATAAAATTATACGTTTATAAGCGATTTCTTTGATTAGATTGGATATTATAATGTTAAAATGTAGTTTTCTTATGCACATCAACTGGTCTCAACTGTACACGTATCAATTTTGATCTATATATACATTCATTTTCTCGCTGTGTTGAAGACCCATTGGTGGCCTCGAGCTGTTTTCGCTCTTTGGTCGAGTTGTTGTCTCTTTGACGCATTCCCCGTTTCCATTCTCAACTTAAGTGATTATATGTGTCCATCTCTGGAACATTGTTCTGTTACTGTATCGTTTGTTATTGTTTTCGAATATTACAATCTATGGAACTGAAGACGAAGGACTCCTTGACACGAACTGATTGTTGTTAAAAAAAATGAAGTATGTTTTTGTCATTTTTATTATACCAGACAGTGTTTAATTGATGCTTATATGACAAAATTGTATGACAATAAAGGACTATTATTATATCACATTGAATAGTGAGAATTACATCATATGTATTTTATTGTATCATATGTGTTCTATTGTATCATGTGTATTATAATGTATCATATGCTTTATATTGTATCATGTGGATTATATTGTATCAATGCTTTATATTGTATCATTTTTCATATATTGTGTCATTTGCCTTATTTTGTATCATATGATTTCATCATATTGTATTAATGTAATACATTGTATCGTATGCATGATATTGTATCATATATGTATTAAAGTGTATCATATGTATTATGTTGTATCAATGTATTATATTGTATCATATGTATCAAATTGTATCATACTGAATTATATGTATTACATTGTATCATGTACATTATATTATATCATGTGTATTAAATTGTATTATATTGTATCAAACATTTGATTCATATTATAAATCGAAGAAAGATACCAAAAAATTAAATCCAAAAAAAGGATAAACGCCGGCGGCATTTTTTAAAATCACAACCGATGATAAAAGGAATACTTAGAGAGCAAAACATTCATTTTTATTGAGTTAAAAAAAAAACAATTTTGAGGAGGGATCCGGATGGAAATATGAAAAATACAGCGCGATATGTCTTGTATCTAAAATGAGATATCTCACCATCACTGCATGAAACAAGTGGCCCTCGCAATGATGTCATGGAAAATTAAAGGATATGAGATGAACTCCTTGATCCCTCCGCATCATAGAAAATCAAAATGGTTACCCACTTACCAATAATCATCACAGCACGAATCTTCACAACATCCAGAAGAACAATCAAACGTTGTTATTTCATCTAATATGTCATCATAAGATGTACATACTTCTGCACTTACATCTAAAAAGTGTTTAAAGATTACATTGCATTACTGTTTATACTGTTCCAAGAGAGACAATGTAACGGGTAACTTGCACTTAAAACAAAATGTTTGTTAACATACGAACACAACTGTTCTACACTAATTATAGTCTATCTACAGTCGATTTTACCATTCCTTGTGATGTACTAAGCTCAAAGTCAATGTGAATTTTCCTTTTTGTAAATGTGATCATATTTTCAAATTTTGTTTCAACTGAAAATTAAGGTTCTTGGGTTATCATCCGTATACCCTTTCTGCCTTTAAAAATGCCAAACTCATTAAAGATCCAAAGTAAGTTAGGTTCCAGAGTTACCGGCCGAAAACACCTTTTCTCCACTGATTTTGGGGTCTGTTTTTAATTCTGTTTCCTTGGCCTATCACGTGTTGACCTCAAATTCGTCTCGTTTTAAGTGACTATATCCTACAAATTATCGAACAATCCGGCATCCAGAAATCCCTTTTCTACACTATTTGAGTCTTTTTGTATTTATTACCTTGACCTTCTACAAGTTGACCTCAAACTGATATAGATTGTCGTCGCGTTATATGTGACCATACAAGCCTAAGTAAGGTTATCCGGTTATAACCATCCAGAAACCAAAATTTAATGACGGACGGATGTAATAACGGGTATATATACATATAAATTTCCCATGGTACTTTGAAGCGATAAGATAAGTCTTTAGGTTGTGGGTATTGGTCTTGGTGTAGGGTAATTTGCAGGATAGAGAGGATGTGTAATAATTTAGTTTTACCTGATAGTAACTTCAAAATTAATAATGCAAAATAAATAAAATCTATGTTCAAATAAGCCATCTTTGTTTTGTGATGACACTTATCTAAAATGACAACAAATCTAGATAAATTATCAACTAATTTCAAATGAGATAATATTGATAATAATAAAATGTACTGTGATGGTGGTCGGTCAGTTATTTTTCCTCTGTTAAAAAAAATGAAAACTCGACTTTCTGCACCATCTATAACAGCATAAAATATCATTCCATAACGAAACATTTACTTTTGTAGAAGTTAACACAATTGCGTATATCTTTTCTTAACTACAAATATTATTTTATACATTTTTGTACAGGTGCACATAATTTTGTTTGACTTTTTTTATGCCCCCGCAACTGAAAGTTGGGGGGCATATTGTTTTACCCCTGTCCGTCCGTCCGTCCGTCTTTCCGTCCGTCCGCCCGTCCGTCCGTCCGCCCGTCCGTCCGTCTGTCCGTCCCATTACGGGTATATAGTTATTCCAGATAACTCTTCCTACAGTTTAAATGCTAGGGAGTTTTCACTTTGCTGGCTTTTTGTACATATATTGAAGGTGTACATGTGGTCAGGGTTTTGATTTTTATTAATATTTGCTCTTTTGGGAGATAATTGAACTTTGTCATTTGTTGGAGTATTAACTTGAATAAGAGGTGCATAGCGTTTCCAGATAACTCCTCCTACAGTTTGAATGCTAGGAAGTTTTCAATTTGCTGGCTTTTTGTACATATATTGAAGGTGTACATGTGGTCAGGGTTTTGATTTTTATTAATATTTGCTCTTTTGGGAGATAATTGAACTTTGTCATTTGTTGGAGTATTAACTTGCATAAGAGGTGCATAGCGTTTCCAGATAACTCCTCCTACAGTTTGAATGCTAGGAAGTTTTCACTTTGCTGGCTTTTTGTACATATATTAAAGGTGTACATGTGGTCAGGGTTTTGATTTTTATTGATATTTTCTCTTTTGGGAGATAATTGAACTTTGTCATTTGTTGGAGTATTAACTTGCATAAGAGGTGCATAGCGTTTCCAGATAACTCCTCCTACAGTTTGAATGCTAGGAAGTTTTCACTTTGCTGGCTTTTTGTACATATATTGAAGGTGTACATGTGGTCAGGGTTTTGATTTTTATTAATATTTGCTCTTTTGGGAGATAATTGAACTTTGTCATTTGTTGGAGTATTAACTTGCATAAGAGGTGCATAGCGTTTCCAGATAACTCCTCCTACAGTTTGAATGCTAGGAAGTTTTCACTTTGCTGGCTGTTTAAACATATACTGAAAGTGTGCATGTGGTCAGGGTTTTGATTTTTATTGATATTTGCTCTTTTGGGAGATAGTTGAACTTTTTCATTTTTTGGAGTATATACTTCCATAAGAGGTGTATAGCGTTTCCGGATAACTCCTTCTAAAGTGAACCATAGACCTATGTGCTCCAATGCTTAACTTTGTGTATTTTAAAATAACACTTTGCATCTGCGGGGGCATCATTTGTGTCCCCCAGACACAATAAAATCTCAAAGAAAGTCCTAAATTGACTTTGTTATAATACAGTTACTTCAGAGTGGACTGCGGGTGCATCACTTTGTCTAGTTCATTACATATATTTATACTGGCTAACAGGGGCATCACTTTGTCTAGTTCATTACATATATTTATACTGGCTAACAGTAAGCCCCCCCCCCCATCTTATTCTATTTGAAATCTTTATTTTTAATGGAGGAACGACTATTTGTCATAATATCGTTTGAATCTCTGTAGAAACATTAATTGAATACTTCTTTTCATAGCTTATTTTAAGTGTAATAAAAGTGTTGACCGAAGCACATTTTGTATATAGCGAAAACGTTTACCAAAGCAAATTTTAAATGAAGCGCGAAAGATTGAATTACTAGGAAGTTCAATGTCAACTTAATGACACCTTCTGAATTTTCTAAGCATTATTTAGTATAAATATATTTGATAAATTTTCAGTTGCTCAATTTTGTTACCATCGCCAAAACTAAGTTTCAAACTTACCCAAATAAAAAGAATTGAAACTAGATAAAATCTTTAAAAAAATATCGCAAAAATTCCAAACGAAGCTACACCAGGTGCGTGAACATGGTAAGTATCTGATCTCAGGAGCACTGCAAATCATAGAAAAATGTCGAGGCGACGAAAACGGATCAAAAACATTCATTCGTTATGTTCCGTTTGATTTACAACAACTGTATTTGTCGATACCACTATTGACTGGCTGTTTGACCACAAAGGTTTCATCCTCAAGTATAATCAGTGATCCGTTACATTTTTTGTAATTAAACCCTCAATGTATATATCGGTTTCAATTTGTGCAAAAACTTTTTATCATAAATCAGACCGATGGTCTAAACTTTCCAGCCAATAAACCTTGGCTCTTTTAATTACAAAACTACACTAGCTTCTGCTCCATGTATTTATCCTTACGTTTTAAAAGTTCTGAATTTAGGATAATCTAGGAACCCGTTCTGAACGCATCAAAGAGCTGAGGAGTGTTACTTTCGTTTGATTTATTTAACACTAGGGTCATTTTCGAATTTTTTAAAGTCTTTCAATATTTACAATGTCATATCTTCATGTGTGTACTAACACTGTATCGTATATGTGAGCATGTTACATGTTTTAATTATTATTGTAATTGAACTATGAATGATTTAAGATGACATGGCCAAAAGCTGCTATTTTGAAAATATTTGGAAAAAAAATTGCATTGATTCAATAAAAGAATAAGCTTAAGGAAATAACCAAATCTAAATGTTAGTTGGAAGTAATATTTCGGTAAAATATAAATATCATATACAACGTTTTACTTTGATATACTTTAAATGCACTGTTTAAATGGGTCGTTTACTTAGGGAGCAACGATTTAATAATATGACGAATAATAATATCGTCCTGGACTCCACCTAGTAGTTAATTGGTCTCATGGGTCTTTACTACTAATACTAATAGTGGATTGTTAGTCGTTACGGGTATCACCGACCAGTACGTGTAGCCAATGGGTCTTTAACACTACTAGTGAACTATTAGGCCGTACGGCTAGCTATTACCCGACCAGTAGTCAATGGTCTATAACTGTTAGTTCTTAACTGTATCACCCACACAGAAGTCAATTTATGCTTTTGCATTTATTTTGATTTCTTACGTAAATTTTTTTCTGAATACTCCGCCATACCTCTTTTATAATTTCACTTTCACTTAAAAGGTTGGACCTGATTGCAAGCCATGCTGGTATCTAACAGTACTGAATTTTCTATACAACAAATATATATGAAACTGTACTAACAAATTAAAAATGAATTGGTATTTTCGAATTCAGAACTTTCAGATTATCAAAATATTAACTGTATTGGATTCAAATATGTTTCCTTTACACATACTATGTATACAACAGTTTCATAAATCATTTATCATTTTGAACTGTCATGCTATCTTTAGATAAAAAATAATACTTCAGTTTCAAAAAATCTACCTATCTGTCCTTTTTAACATAATGTTAAGAATCACATGTCTAGGGTATACTGAAAACTTTATATGTAACGACTAAGCTCATAGCACAAGATATTCACTAAATCAAAATAATAAAAATGTCAGCACCGACCATACAAATTATGAACGGTCTTGTTAAACTATTTTTAAATATATAATTGTCGAAAAATCTGGAGTCAAGAATGACTCCAAGTGAAAAAATGTGGTGCTCATGGGCTAGGAATTAACTCATTGAGTCTCCTCCCATAATACCGCCTGCTTGATCGCGGTTCCGAAAATAGTGTAGCATAAATTATTTATAGTCCTAACATTGTTCTATTAGTTTTCGTGGTTTGTTTATTTTTCAAATTGCAAAACAATTTAATATTCTTTGTTTAATGTTCAGTTTTTGTACAGTTTTACATAAAACTGATAACCAGACATTGTTTTTATAATTAGAAAGACGAAGAAAAAACCAAATGAGTATTTATTTATTATTTTTATCTATAACTTGATTTTAGGCTGAGTAGTCTCAGTTTTAAGCTGAACGTTCTTTTAACGTTTTATATTTAAATCTCAATCAATACTTCTAAATTTAGACGAAACAAGTCACATAGTATGGCATTTAAGATAAAGAATATGTGTAATGGTTTTTTTGCTATATATTATATATATATATATAAATAAGAGGAAATGTATGGTAAACGTTATTGAGACAGCAACCCAACGTTACAATATACTGGGTCCAAAGCAATATAGAGGGAAATAAAGTGTTTGTACGATATATCAAGCTCTAAATCGCTCTGAATCTAAAAAAAAAAGTTGTGAATAAATCCAACGGAGGCTATCAAGATCTGTTGTAACAAAACCCAACTGATAAAGGTTATTTTTTATTACAACTATCCTGATATTCAGGCCGCCCCAGAAAAATCCTACAGTCAATTCTTTGCCATTGTTTTTACTGTGGATACAATGATAGCCAATGCAAAGAACCATCCTCCATCTTCCTAGTATAAAGGAGTGGGACTTCCATGAACAGAAAGTTTAGTTCGGTCTTTATATTTCAATTGTTTTAAGAAACATTTGGTGCATGGATTTAAAATAATAACTATTTATAGATATTGTCCTTTTATCTTATTCTTATGTGAGATTGAACAATCCTTAAATCCACTTATGTTTATTGTGAAATATGTAGCCATCTTTTGGTTCGGTCTCCATCAACCTAGAAATTAGACAGTGTACCAATCTATGTTACCTTAGAATGGTGTCATTCAAAAAATTATTTTAACCAAGAAATCACATATATAATTTCTCCGAGATGTTTGTTTACTTTTGGCGAGAATGCAGAAGATTAATCTATAAACACAGAACTGATAAACCTTAATCAGAGACATATTATATTAATCTGCCTTAATATAATCAGAGACATATATACACATATGTATATATATGTCTCTGATATAAACAAGTATAAATTGAAAACAACGTTCAAACCTATGATTGCGTTGTATACAAATCCTTGGTTGGATAAAAACCGCAATTTTTATACATGTGCATGCAAAACAAATTTCTTGGTAGAGGGGTCAAAATACAGCACAAACAACATTTTCCAAAAGACCAAAAAAGTGAAAAAGTATATTTCAACAAAACACATTGACTAGCAGGTCGAACAACGGCGATTGCCAAATAAACGGATCACTATGCAGATCAGTGTAACAAAACTTGGATCTTAATTATTAATTTAATACCAAACAGAAAACAATAAACTTGCGGAAAAGATGGTATACCGCAAACATGAGGTGCAAAAATTTGTACACCATATCCGGATTTCGACAATTAATGTCTCTTCAGTGATGTCTCTGATATAACACATATTTAGATATTTTTTTCTATGATACATTTGTCTGTTTCTGTTACGTGAGCATTCATTCCTTATTCTGTGACGTGACTTTTGTTTTAATTTCAGAAGGTGGAAGACATCCTTTAGGCTATTGTCCTTGGTGGTTTCAAAGCATCTATAAATATCGGTATTGCCTAATCTTCATTTGAACTTTGGTGGATAGTTGTTTCATCATACCTCTTCCCCTTATCTTTTTTATTGACTGGATAACACGTCATCTGGTTAACTTAAAAATGCTTGTATTTGTATTACCATGGAAGTATTATATTGATACTTCCATGGTATTACATAGACGATTGATTTTCACATTTTGAAATACATGTTTAAATATAAGAAATACATCGGAAACGAATCGTGTCGTTTCCGTTATATGATGCTTATACATTATAATATTTATCGTTTCAATCAAAGGAAAAAGCCCGAGAAATCTTTCTGACATTAAATTATGGCGAATTTCCAGGCAGGGACAGCTGCGGTTCCTTCAACCCAAGTTGAAATCAGTGTAGCCTGTCGGTTTGTAAATTGTATTGTTTTATGGTAGATATACTAAAGTGTTGAAATACATTTGAACCCGATTATTCGAAATAGTAATTACTCCACTGATCTCGTACATGAGAGCTGAGAAAGTTGCAAATAGATGAGAGAACAGATACAGGAAGGCTACGCCTTCTGATGTAAATGACAGAAAGAATTTAAAAATGTGGCCGTTTACACTCAAAAACGTACTCTGGGTACAGAAAAACCTGTGCATCTGGTAAAGTGGATCTCCTGTAGTTGGTGGTCGCAAATTATACTGGTATACTAGTATTGTGCACAATACTGGTATAAAAATTTTGTACCAGTATTGAATTCCAGTATTGTACCAGTATTGTGTTTTTTTTAAATAAACAATACATATAGGTAATTAATCTTTTATTAAAGGTGTCACATATATATGCATTATGATATTAACATATGACAAGACAATTTTATATGGAATGATTGTATGTTTAACTGATGATGCCATTGATGGTACACTGTGATTGTAATAAATCAAAGAAAGTTTTAAATCTTCTGATGTTATTTTCTTAAGGGAACCGTACTGTCTCAGCATTTTAACAAACTCTTTACTTTCTTCTATGTTTTCTTCCAGCTCTCTCTTTCCAAGTCTCAATAGTATATTTTAGTGAATTTTATATTGACATTAATGCTGTTATAGCTTCTGTATCATCAGCATTGGTATTGTTTATTTCTTCTTCAGATGGCATTTCTGCAACCCCCACTTCCTATATTGATATTTATGTATTCTGTCTGTGGACTTTCTCTTACGCTTACTAGATTACAAAGTACAAGCTTGTTTAGATAGCACCTGTACGGCTCTCTTACTGTAGGAGTGCTTGTCTAGTATTAGTATTTGAGTATTTGTACCAATAGATATATCTGCTACAAATTGAATTGCCCATGGTTCTGAATCAACTGCTTTAACTACCCTTAACATTCATGTAGACAAACTAGTTAATTTGATTATAATCAGGTTCCCCTATTAAGCAACTTTTTATGTTTAATGGATATTGATATCTTTTATCATGTTTATTGTGAAAGATTGATAAGAAAATAAAGACAAACAAATGCTTAGAATCTTAGTATACATGTATTAAAATATCTGTAAAAAACATACGATGGTATACATGTAAATGCTGAATTTACAGTGTTATAGTGTAATAATTTGCCTGAATTTATTAATTAATAACTCAGTTAATAAAGCTTTAATTTTATTTTATCTAAATTGAATTAAATAAAATATAGAAATATGATAAAATTACTAGCAATTATTTATATAACTAATAATTGTTTGAATAAGATGAGTTAATTACAATAATCTTTTGTTTATTTGTACAAGTATAGTAATTATTTTTAACTGGTTGTTAATTGATTTCACAATTATCCTCTATAATCTTTTTGAGTTCATTTAATCTCCCTTTGATCTTCAATATCTAATTTTGCTTAAAATTAATTTTTCATTATACACCTTAAAGTATAGTGAACAATACAACTACAATACTGGTATATCAGTAATGTACCAGTATTGCTGTTTTTAAAAAAAAAAATTACAATACTGGAACAAAATTTTTATACCAGTATTGTGGACAATACTGGTATACCAGTATTGCGATCACCAACTACAGGAGATCCGGTAAAGTTTTAAGGCATGACAGGAACTAGATAATTACATTTCAAATGCATTTTTATACATGTGACAGAGTTGTCAAGTAAAAAGTATCAACTGGAGATTTGAAAATTTTCAGCTGGAGTTTGTGCCTCATAACTGGAGATTTTATATCGATGAATGACACGACGTCCATACTGCCACGACGTCCATAGGATGTATCGGCCATACCCTGAAAAGATGTATCGGCCATAGGACAACATCGTCCCTCATACTTTGTGAAAACACGTCATCCATGTTTTCTTTTTTTTTGGAAATAAATTTTATTTATAAGGGATTGTGATATATACATGTTAATAGTTATAATAACTTGTACATGTATTATGTTGTATTTACATTACTTGTCATGTTTTTATATGATATACACTTGGAATACACATTAAATGTGCTTTATCTACTAAAATATATAAATGTGCTTTATCTAATAAAATATTTATATTTAATATTGTCTAAATGGATATTTAATATTTCCGTACAAGTGTTGATGATCAAGCAGACAAGCAAAGGTAACTCTTACGATAATAAAATATGGTACGCGGTACTGCACAGACAGCATATGCTGTTTAGTTGGCCCGAGAACACAGTTATTTCGTAGTGCATTTCTTTTAGACAATAAATTCAAATTAAAAAAATCGCACCTGCTCTATCTCAAAAACATTTTTACAGTGTAGTGAACTACTATTGATACAAATAATATTAAAATTATAGAAACTTCTACCAGCTCTAACTCAAAATATTGACAATTCTGTTTTAAGGGGGGCTAAAATTCAGTTTGACAGTTTCCGACATTCTAATTTTTGACCTTTTTTAACTGGACCAAATCACTACTTAACATAAAGATTCAGCACCCAAATTTTTTTAACATGTAATTTCATCCCCTTACTTAATATTTCATGCATAAAATATCAAGTAATAAATTGGGAAAGTGTATCAAAAAAAAATGCAAGTTATACACTGTTCACACTAGGGACTATATTCGTAGACAACGAAAACCAAAGGACGATAACTGTGTCCTTGGACCTAATAGGATAGAAAGACGTGACCAATTTTAATAAAACTTTGCATGACCTAAGCTTAGGCAATTTTAAGATAGTTGGCCAAGTTTCATGGCCATAGGATATATATTATAGATTTTAATATTGAAATTTGGATGTTTATTTTTGACGTTTAAATCAAATATTTTCAACTGTCAAGATTTTGGCCTAAAAAATTTAAATATTGCAAAAATTTGCTTTTTAAATACTCTTGAATTTAATATAATAAGTATTAAAAGCAACGGAACACTCATTTGATTTATCAGATTTATTACAGTTATTCAAAGTCAAATTTATATGAGCCTGTGCCTGAAAATAGAGATTTTCAAATTAAGGGAAGCCTTACATAAACATGCATTTTTTTCAACCAATTTGAAGTTTTTGAAGGTTTTTAACCATACATTATTCTTCCATATATATTAAATGTACTTTAAATGTAAAGAAAAGTTACAAAAAACATACCACATGAGTATAAAGTGGTCTTAGGCCATGCAAGACTGAGAATTATTTAGAGTCGATTTAGGCCATACCCCATATTTACATATAAAAATGCACACAGAGGCTATAAGGAAGTGAAATTTGTTACTTTTTGCTCATTTCTATGCTAAGATGTCATGATACAAGAAGTCTAATTGCAAAAAGGACTCTTGAATTCAACTTTTTCTTGCAGACAGTATGGTCTAATGACCAGTTTTTCACTTTTCAATGGAAAACTTGCATGTAGTTTTAGTCTCATTTGGCATATATTTGAACCACTTACTATCCTAAAGAAGAAAATTATGGTAGCATATGAAATGAATAGGGTGTACTGATCATTGTTAAGTGTTTTTTTTACAGATTTAGTGAAATATTTGTGACGGACTACAGATTTTATGTACAAAGCTCTTCACATTTCACATACATCAAACAGGCCGTTTAACCAGGGACATAAATACAAATATTCTGCACATTTTTTGTCGAGCCTGCGACTTTTGTCGCAGAAAGCTCGACATAGGGATAGCGATCCGGCGGCGGCGGCGTTAGCTAACTTCTTAAAAGCTTTATATTTTAGAAGATGGAAGACCTGGATGCTTCATACTTTGTATATGGATGCCTCATGTTACGAAGTTTCCGTCAGTCACATGTCCAATGTCCTTGACCTCATTTTCATGGTTCAGTGACTACTTGAAAAAAAAGTTCAGATTTTTTGTAATGTTAAATTCTCTCTTATTATAAGTAATAGGATAACTATATTTGGTATGTGCGTACCTTGCAAGGTCCTCATGCCCGTCAGACAGTTTTCACTTGACCTCGACCTCATTTCATGGATCAGTGAACAAGGTTAAGTTTTCGTGGTCAAGTCCATATCTCAGATACTATAAGCAATAGGTCTAGTATATTCGGTGTATGGAAGGACTGTAAGGTGTACATGTCCAACTGGCAGGTGTCATCTGACCTTGACCTCATTTTCATGGTTCAGTGGTTATAGTTAAGTTTTTGTGTTTTGGTCTGTTTTTCTTATACTGTATGCAATAGGTCTACTATATTTGGTGTATGGAATGATTGTAAGGTGTACATGTCTAGCTGGCAGGTGTCATCTGACCTTGACCTCATTTTCATGGTTCAGTGGTCAAAGTTAAGTTTTTGAGTTTTGGTCTTTTTTTCTAATACTTTATGCAATAGTTCAACTATATTTGGTGTATGGAAATATTTTATGATCTATATGTCAGTCACGCAGGTTTTATTTGACCTTGACCTCATTTTCAAGGTTCATTGCTCAGTGTTAAGTTTTTGTGTTTTCGTCTGTTTTTCTTAAACTATAAGCAATAGGTCAACTATATTTGTTGTATGGAAGAATTGTTAGCTGTACATGCTTGCCTAGCATGGTTCATCTGACCTTGACCTCATTTTCATGGTTCATTGGTCAATGTTTAGTTTACTTGGTTAATGTTAAGTTTATGTGACAGTTGTAATAAAGCTTTATATTTAGGACTATCAACATAATATCAATGATTAGTAAAGAAGGCGAGACATTTCAGCGTGTGCACTTTTGTTCTGTGATAATCTACTTTTCTCTAGATTCCGAGTTCACAAATGGTTAATTAAATTTGATTTAAGCATAGAAATATCAGGAACATAAAAAGCTGTCAGATAGAAAGTCAGCATGGCTCTTAGGCATAAAATGGAAACTGCTGTAAAATGCTTATTTTAGCCGTATAATGCCAAAATGGGACATTTTAACAGAATTTCTGTCAAACAAAGATGTAAATCCTTTACTTTTATTGAGTTTGACA